TAGCCCTGATGGGTTGAAAAAATAAATTGTTTAATTTTCTGATCTATGCATGGTGATGTTGGTGCATCGCCTGATAAGAGCCTGGAGGCACCGTGGTTGGATTCAGAGGTATGGAGTGCATGGCTTAGGTCTGCTGTAGAAAAATCGGGAGATAGTAGGATACAGGGATGGCCTTGAACTGCTTCTATGAGTCCTTTTTCTGTTCACTCAGGACTCCATGAGTTGTAATGTTTCATTCCACTTTGTTGTTTCCTCACTTCAGGAACAGTTTGAAAACTGTAACCTGTCAGGAAGTCCGTCTTCATGAGTAGCTGTTAGGGATAAGCAGTGGGCATTTATACTACACCATACGCAAAGCAGTTGTTCTTCTTTGGGGGTTACCTTCATGAAGACTGGTAGAACAGTGGCTGATTTTAAATGGGTGGAGTCTTCAGGAGCAAAGTTGTCACGTGTTGGTGTCCACATTGAGAGAGGAAGAGTGTCTTTCTGTGTTATCCTACTGTTTTGGTGGGGGAATGCAATGGGGTAAGTGCTTAGTAACAGCCTGCCCACAACTGCCTACAGCTCTGCCTGTCTAGGGCTTGGTCTCCATCCCTTAAGCAAGAAGCTGGAATAGACTGTCCTCACCCTGAGAGCTTCTCAGCCTCTTCCTGAGAGATTCTGCCTTGTCCCCATCCGTACTGGAGTGACAGCTAGAGTCCAGCTGTTGACTCATTGTGGAGAAAACAGGTAGAACCTACTCATTGCTGTGATATTTAGTAGAATACCATGGGAATAAAATAGCATTTGGTTGTATTTCTTTAAAAACAGCTAGCCTAAAATAAGGAATGCTCGTTTTCTCATTGTGAACATAGAGGGGCCAGAGGCAAATAAAATCATGGTTTTTATAGGGTTAAATCATATGATTAATCATAAATCATTATCAACACCCTAGAAGAGTGTCAAATGACTCTCAGAAGAGCTGGGTTGTATCTTGAGCTGAGTCCTGGCCTTCGATGCCATCCCAGAGCGAAGAGGTAATATATTTAAGTGTCACTGGACGTACACATATGCTGTCTTTCATGTCGTTTCCTTGGGAGGCTTGAGCTCCCCTTTTCACGTCACTGAGTATAAAGCAACCATCTGTACTCTGTACTGACGCTACCATGGGAGGTTGGAGGCAAAGCTGCCTTCTGTGTGTCTGCCGTGTGCATCCCAAAGGTGCTGCTGCTTCTGTGTGACAGACGCACAGGTCACTGGCAGTCCTGGGGGCCATCCTGCCCTGGACGGCCATCTGGCTAGGTGCCCTGGGGCCTTAGTGGCCTCACTTTCATGGTCCTGTGCCTGTCTGCACTCTGCCTGTCCTCACCATCCTTTATACCTAGCATCAGAAAGCTCTCTCCTTTCCTTAAAGATGGCAGCACCTACCCAGGATAACAGTCTCTCTTTCTGAGCTTTGCTTTTTTACCAGAAGATAGGAAAGTAGTGATCTTCAAAAGATAGGAAAAACGCAGTTTTTTCCTTTCACTATGCAGAAATCCCTGAGGCCCATCGAAAGCTTGGGTACCTAGATACCTGCCTGAAAGAAGACAGGATAAGAAGAGAGAAACAAAACTTAGCCTGGCACACTTTGTGACAAAGGAAGGAAAGAGAGAAGAAAGCAGCAAGGAAGATTAGGAGGAAGGGATTGGGGAGAGGGAAGGTGACATGGCCAAGGAAAAACATTTTTCAAAACCTGAGTAAATCCCAATGTGGATGGCTGACCTGTAAACAATAACTGTTGTACACTTTGTGCCATGATTTGTTCTTTTTCAATCCAATTTTTCTGTCAGAAAGAACCCATAAATGAGGTACAAGATCCCAATGATGAATGTAACTATACTGTATACCTAAAATGTACCAATAAACTCAATGAGGAAAAGAAATTTTGCAATAAAATATATTTTTGAATCTTAAAAAAAATATGAGAGTTAGCGAGACCTAGAGTTCGTTCCTCCTTGCTTGAATTTTCCCCCCTGTATAAATGGAAGTAGTGCCTCTTGTCTATATGTTGGCACAGACAGAGAAACTCTGTGCTTGGTGAACAGGAAGCAGTGTGCAGGCTGTAGAGAGGTGCGAGAAAGAGCACAAGGTCGTCCTACCCCTGCCTGGCTGGCTGTATGGGACCTTCGCTCCCACATCTGTAAAATCTAACCCCACGGTGGTACGGAGAAACAAGTGAATCTTTCTAAATCTCTGTGAGGCACGCTTCTTGTGGTAGGTGGAATAATTGAAGTTCAGAAAATTAACACAGTTTGATCAGGAGTATACAGTAGTAAGTGAATTAACCAGAGCAAGCTGTTTATATCAAATGTGTTTGATGTTTTAAAATAAGTTCTATCAGGTATCTTCAAACAAGAATTCTACATGTGTGTAGAGTCTAAGACAAATATTTGAAATGTATGTATAGGTGAGAGCCACAGAAGGATTTCTTTGAAACATTAGACATATTTGTTCTTAGGCATCTAAATAACAACAAATCTATCTATCTATCTATATATCTATCTCCTATTTTATTACCAACTTCTGTAGATAAATATTCTTTTCTGTCACATTAATGACTCAGGAGGAAGGAAAGGCTGAGGTTTTTTTTAGTTGTAGCCCTGGGTGACTCATGAGACCTAGATGTCACTATTATCTTTTATAAGCAATGCATATTAAAATTTTAACAATGAAAGTTGCTGGTACCTGTCATCTATTAACACAGGGCATAAAGCAGGGTTCACTTCTTGTGTCTCCCACATTTTGCTTTCTGGGTTTCACCTGATGGATAATAATAGATTTTTTTTTTTTCCCTGTGGAAACACCCTTGATTGTCAATACATCTCCAAGGACATAATCCTGACAGATTAAAAAAAAGTCGTGTAAATTATAATTGTCACCTCCCTCACAATTTCCAGAATATTTTTAATAAAGGGGATTTTTCTTTTAAAATGTTGATTGGGCATATCTTGGCCTGGGAAAATTGTTTTATTTGCTAGATTCTTAATTTAAATCCAGGATTATAGCAAGACTTGGTATTGGTGCCAGACAAGGAAGTGGTTTGTAGTTCTACATGAGGAAAATTATTTGTTTAAGTTACACTGAACTCACAGTTTGAAAACTGAAGTAGGATGCGGCAAACAATTGTTTTCCTACTCATAAATACATTTAATTATATAATAAGCTGAGAAAGTAATTTGATCTTGTGATTTAAGTATGCATTCAAAATATAGTTACTGTTTAAAATGGTGAAAGACGACGTAGACTTGCCTCTTCCTTTTGTGCTGGTATGAGCTGAAGAGCAAGGTGAAGTTATGTTACAACTTTCATTAGAAAGAAATGCTTGTTCATTTTTACCACATTCACACATCTTCTGTATTTCACACCCACCTTCCTCTCACCTTTAATCGGAAGATCTCCTCCTCATTTCTGTGCAGTGGCAGGCTAACTCTTGGGGACTGGATCAGAGGCCGGGACTTAGCTTGGTGAACAGAAGCCACAAAGTACAGTGTAATTGTGTCCTGTTGGTAGAGGAATGGAGATACTTGAATCCACTGCAGGCGTTGCCCTTTTTATCTAATATGTACATGAACTTTTAAAAACTCTGTTGAAATAGTTTTAAATCTAGCTGATAGACATAAGTTATTTGTCATTGTATTCAGTATTATTAGAGTAATAGATTTTAAATTTCATGGTAGCAGCAAAAGTTTTTGAAACTTTAGGGAATGGGCAGAGTACACATCTTGACTTCCAATATCAGTCACAATCAACTAACTTGCGTGCACATGTCCTGGCTGGTTTATTGCTCATGTGTGACCTGAACATTCTCTTTAGAAAGTGGCCACATAAAAGGGCCAAGAAGTAGGATGGGATCCACAGAAGTGCATGTGGGTGGGATGGCCCAGGCACTGGCAGATCTCGTTCACATACATTGTATTCTGTTTTCCTGGCAAAATGGTTACTGATAAATCTTTCACACTGGAAAGTGTTTTGGTTTATACGAGAAATTGTGTTATCTTGCCAATTAGGCAGGTGATGATAGTAGCTTCTTAAACTCTGGAGAAATCTAAACACAGTGGGATTTTGTGACTTTAAGTGATTTTTCCAAATCTATGTAGTTACTTAGTATCACACCTACAATTGGCTGTGTATATTTTAACTTAAAAAGCTGTAGGCAGGATTGGGGATTTAACTCAGTGGTTCTGCCACCTGCTTCACAAGTGCAAGGCTGTGAGTTTGATCAGCAGTACCAAAAAAAAAAAAAAAAAAAAAAAAAAAACAAAAGAAAAAAAAAAAAAAAAAAAAAAAAAAAAACAAAAGAAAAAAAAAAGAAAAAAGAAAAAAAAGGGTCTGAATAAAGCATCTTAAAAAAAAATCTGTAGGCTTTGTCTAGGTTTATTTCTTAGACTTTAATTTTCCAGGTTACATTTGATTTGTCCTGTGACTATTTTTACATATATTCATTCTTATTCATTTTCTTTTATTTTTGCTCTGTTCTTTTCCCCTTATATCTTCCATCTTTCTCCCACTCTGTCTCTGTCTCTGTCACTCTCTCTCCCTGTCTCTCTCCCTTCCCACGAATGCATTTAATTGATATACAAAGCATTTAGAGAAACTGAGATAAAGTGATAAAGTGAGCCACACTGATTTAAAGCCCTCTCCACACGAGAAGCACTTATTGGAGACATTATTATCAGCTGGGTGCTCAAGCACAGTAACAAGCTGGTGGCAGAGCAGTGGGCCAGTTTGACTTTCAGGTCAAACATAGGTTTGTCTCAATTAGCCAGACTGTACTATGAATTATTTCATTGATACTGATAGTTTTTTTCCCTCAGATTGGTCACTTATAATTGAACCAGATTTCATATGTGCAAATTTCAACTCTGGCAAAATATTCTTTTTCTTAGCTCTGAAAAATCACTATGTACTTCTGAAAATTAAGGCAGTTTATAAGAAGGATTTATACTCAGGCTAAGTGCAATTTTCTTTCTGTCGGCTAGGTTTTTCTAGATATGACATTTGGTTCAGGAGGACACACAAGAGCCCTTCTCCAGGCGCAGCCGGATATTACCCTGTATGCCTTAGACAGAGACCCAACAGCTTGTGCCATAGCCCAGCAGCTTTCAGAGCTACATCCGTAAGTAATATGCTTGTATTTCGTTTTATTGCTTAGTCTTACAGAGCTTAGCTTGGGGTTTACCTTGTATGATGTTTGTTCTGTGTTTTTCCCACTGAATATTTCCTCCCTTTTCACCAAGAAAAAAATTAATGTAATTAATGTTTTCAGTGGCATCGTAATGCCATCACAGCATCTATCTTTTCTGTTTCGGTAACAAGTACAAAAATAACTTCTGGCCGCAAGACGGAGTGTGTGTTACGGTCCATTCACAAATGATATTTTGGCAAATAACTCATTGTAAAAACTATTAATTTTGGTTAGGCAGGCCCTTACCTACATCACTACCCACTCAGGAGGCTGAGGCAGGGGGATCATTGAAGACCAGGAAATCAAAGACATCTTCAGCAGCACAGGAATGCCCCTTTTGGGGAAAAATTAAGATGTTAGTATGTTTTGAAGAATTTAACAGAGTAGATAAGTATGTGGGAATCCCTGGAACTCATGAAGTCATGTATAGTGACAGAATGCTCTTGTTTTCTCTAAGTCGTTTCTGCAGTACACAGGTGAATTGAGAGGAAACTGCTGTCAGAATTAGGGAGCTGTCACTGTTGAACTTTTAAAAATACAAAATATTGTGTTAATGGATAAGTGGCCTTCCGATAAAAAGTTTTACTTTGGGAGTAAAATCTATGCAATGTATTGTTTAACAGCCATTATTATACAAGAGAAAAATATGGTGGAGCTAAGAGGACTGTCTTCAAATCAGGGGCTGTCTTCAGAGATGGGGAGTTGTTTTATTCCCTCATGTGATAGTCTGGAATCAAGGCCACCAGTGGGAACATGAACTCGTTTCACAGTAGCAGCTGTCCCACAGTGCAGTGGTCTCCTTGGTGCACTAGCTAAGGTGTGAGCGTGGAAAAGGTAATGGGAAACAAGGTAGCAGCGCATCACACTTCTCCTGTGCGACCTTTTCCACTTCCCTGGGCCCAGACTTGGTAAATCTAATTGATGCAATTAACCTCAGTGGAATTGTAAGTAAATATGTTAGGCTTTTGTTTGCAAAATCACAAGGATTTTTGCAGCTCCTGAACACTAGGTTATTTATTTACTTTTAATTGTAGTGTGAGAATGTAGTTTAACAATATAATTGTAATTTTTGTTGTCTTTTTACTTTTTAAATCTTTCTTCAGCAATGTAGCTAGGTATATGTTCTTCAAGATTTTGTTTTACCAGGTGCAGTTTTTCTACCCAACAAGAACCTTCAGGCTCTAAATTTTCTTTAGTTTTATATGTGAAAACTATTAGTTGCACAGATTTAATAATTTGCTAAAAGGCGCACGAGATGTATGAGACATAATAGGGACAGATCTGGGACATGAATTTTGATCCCCAGCCTATTAAACTCATTTTAATTAGACTAATTTGCTTCAAACTTTCTGACCATTTTCCTTCATCAGCCATGTGATCTTTTTTCCAAACACATATAGTTGATAAAGAACAACAAAATAAATAAAAATAAACTTGGAAGAAGTAATTAATACTGATGAAAACTGTAATCTGGGAAACTGAAAACGTGAAAAAAATAAAAGGAAAGAATGAAATCAGGGGAAAATATAAGGATATCTACTGTGAAATAGCAAAATATGCCTTCACCCTGATTATTAGAACTAATAAAGGTCTGATTAGGATTGAGAGAAGATCAATCATATGCAGAAGATAAGCTAATCATGCCAGGGATTTAGCTCAGTCGTTCTACTGCCTACCTCACAAGCCGCAAGGACCCGAGTTCAATTCCCCGGAACCAAAACAAAAGAAGATAAGCTAATTATAAGATAATGTACAAGCCCAACTTTGGTAAATTACAAAACCTATAGAAATGAATGGCATATGGCATCTTATGAAAATATTATCACGACGGACTCAACTGTAGCATTCGAATGGGTCATTACCATCTTTGAAAGGTTATTAAAATCCATGGGAAAAATGTACCCTGGCCAAGTGATTTTTTGTTAATCTAACCTAAAAAAGTTTTTAGTATATCGGTACATGTGTGTAGTACATAGTGTTTGCATTCCTATGGGAACTGGTCCAGGTGCACAGCACCGCTTACGTCCTTTTCTCATCCCCTTTCTGTTCGCTCCCTTCCCTCCCTTCCATTGCTTGACACTGTCCCTTCTTTTGTGTACGTGTTTGCAGTAAGTGATGTTTGTATGCCTGCTGTATGGTTGGAACACGTACATAACACGTGCCAATTACCTACCTTTTAAAAAAATAAGCAAGGACAGTGCCCTTTGTACTGCTCCTGACCATGACAGACATGGGAAGCTCTTTTAGTTCATTGTATGAGTCCAGCATATTTTACAACCAAATTGTAGTAGAAATAATATAAAATAAAAAATCCATCCTCATTAATTAATAAATAAAACCATTGAAAAGAAAACATTAATATATTTAACTCACATGTTATTTAACTAAAAGAATTATACCATTGTTTTTTTACCTTTTGGCTAATAAAATCCAGTGAAGAATAATACATATCACTTAACAGTGTATATTTCAGGAAAACAAGAATGGTTCCATATAAAGATCTTGTCAGTGATAGGTTGATAATCATGATAAAAATTAGCTCACTGTTCTTATTTAAAACCTCTAAGCTAACAGGAGAGTATAAGGAAAATACTTAGGTGTAAAACACCGTCTTAATCAAGCACAAACAGCATTTATTTACATAACACCTGTAAAATACTATTATATGTAGTTTAAATCAGATTTTAAGGTAGATAGAATTTACTTTATAAGTATCATTACTCAGTATTTTTAGGAGGTCTTAAAAATTAATTTTAAAAAAGGTTAAAATATTTTCTTATAATTTGATCAAACAATTGAACTCTCAAAAGACATAAAAATTTCAAATCCATTCAAATGGCAATATTTGGAAAGGGTAAACAGGGAAGAATACGCCATTCTCAAAAGTATCTAAAATTATATAAAATATTCCTAAGTGTATATGGATTTGGGGAGATGACAAAGTCTTTGAGTTAAAAAAAAAATAGGAACCTTGCCTTTCCTGATGTCAGACCATATTATATAATCACTATAATGAGATAAATTTGGCATTGGCATTCAGATCAGGCAGGTAGAGTATAGAGAACAGAGTCCAGAAATAGAATTGACAAAATTAAAGAATTTAATGGAAGACAGAAAGTCTTTGAATTCATTAAGAAAATAGTGTACTAATGAAATAATACTGATAATGATACCTGTCAGGCATGAGGATAATAAAACAGACATTTATTTTAAGTCACAATAAAACCTCACTTCATGATGGAGTAACACTGCATGAAAAATTGAACATAGACTTTCTGTGAGAAAACTGAAGAGACTACCTGCATAATGAGGGGTGAGAAACTTTCATAATCACAATTAGTAATCATAAATAAACAGTAGCCACATCCGGTTATGTAAATTTAGACGATATGGCAAAATATGATCATTTCCAGTCAATTTGGAAAAGAAACAAAAGTGCAGTAATACAGGAGGGTTATTAATATAGAAGGATTTGATATCTATCAGGATGAGTTTTACAAATTTGATAAAAAGATCACAGCATCCAATTTTGCAAAGGAACAAAACATATAAAAGGATGATTCATAGAACGGATGATTCATAGAAAAGTTGCTCCAAGTCAGAAGCAGTAATGAAGGAGATAAAATAAAAATGGTATAACACCCCGGAGAAACGCAGTTTTGCTAATAAAGATATGGAGGAAAGGATATTCTTCTCTATTGTGAGTGAACATTATTAACCTGGTATTGAAACACATAATTTGCTTGGAATCTTATTTAAATATAAAAATCGATGTCTAAACAAATATATCCTCAAGCTTGTCACAATCTGTGTGCCGCATTGTTTGCATGTATAACTGCAGAGAACTTGAGAAGGACTGGGCCCATGGTGGAGTGAGGTTGAAGGGAAGGGACAGAAGTTTGAAGAGACAAACCCAGAGATTGTAGGATCGCAGCTCTAGAAACTTGTGTAATTAGAAAACACAAAGTAATGCTGTATATTATTTATGAATTCATACATGTTGTAATAGTGTAAAATATACACAGGAAAGAAAAACTTAGACATGATTATTTCTCGGGTTGATAGATAAATGGATAGTTGACTAGAAGGACAAATTAGATTATCATCTTAAAAATAAATACATAATTAAAATTTGTGGTAAAGGACACGTCATTTTTCACATGAATATCCTTTGAAGAAATACAGTGATTTCTTCCTTTTAGTTATTTGTTTCTTTCTCATTAAAAAACACTTTAGGCTTCTCCTGAAAAAGTTCTTATTCTTTTCTTTGTAAAAACTAAGGTAGAAATAGAAGCTAACATTTTCATAGAAATACAAACAATTCATGGGAAGGCTGAATTTTGGGTCAACCCATTTTAGCTCTTTCAGAAAAGATAACGTTTATATCACCTGTTGTTTGAAACTGAAGCATTAGCTCATTTTCTCTGAAGGTTCCATAAGAAAAAATTTAACTTGCAGGAATGAAGTGTTGGGTGTTGGCTGACTTAATGTGGTGCAAGATGGATTTTGGTGGATAATTTTAACACATTTTATTTTTCTTGTGTCTTGAGGAACAATATGTATTTTGTATACCGCTTAGAGAATTTAGCCATTGTACAAAGAAGAAAATAAGAGCCATAAACTATTGCATCATTTTACTATAATTTAAGAATGTAATAATCTGTTATTTTCAACAGTTTATGAAAGTGTATTTGCTCATTGGGGAAAATTTATAATAGAAATTACACTCATCCATATTTCTACAGTCTAAGAGAATCAGCATTAATGATTTTATATAATTCACTGTCTTTTTAATTGTCAATATTTTATTATATTTTATATATATTTATTTTTTAACTTTCTTGGAAATTATTTTGATCAACTGTATTAAATATCTAATTAAACTGGAAATAATAGATATCTTTAGTTTGTATTGTGTTCCAGAAGACCGA